AGAGGGAAAGAAGGCTGCGGAAGATTTGTCTTTAACGTTCTTTTTACTCTTTTTCTTTTAGCTATCTGTCAAGACATTGCCTCCTCTTGCGCTCAGTTAAGTTTTTTCTGGTGTTCTTCGGCTCCAAGCTCCTGCCTGAGGACCTGCAATAGATGTCCTGCATAAAGTCACAGCAATGATCGAGATACGCAGTTTCAGAGGCTCATGCTCATTCTAAGTTTCTGGCTAAACATAGCTGTAATACTCTCTTATAACTGACGCCGTGCTTGAACCACTTTAATTAAATTTAACTTGTTATCGAATGTTTTTGCCAATTAAGAGAACTGCATCTCAAGTTGCATTGAAGAGGCTGAAATAAAGTTTCTTTGAAACGTTCACACTGGCTCCTGTTAGGTATTTTGTTGAACTTCATGTGTTAACATACTCAGTACGTAGAATCAATTTTGCAGTGTCGAAGATCATAACTTTTTCAGGACGAGTGACTTCCCTCGGTAAAAAAAACAATAAATAAATGGTTTAATTTTTAATGTGACTGATCAATGTTGCTTTTCTCCTGCTGCCAATGAGGGGTTGTTCCTGCCATGCGGGACATTATTATGTGTATTTTAAAGACATGAAAGCGAGCCAAGAAGCCTCCCTGCTTTCTGCAACGAAAAATTAGGAAACTTTCCCCCTCCTCCCCCTCCCCCTCAGTTTGCTCCACTTTACTCTTCTGAATGGCGAGTGAATTTTGTACCATGACCTCTTTGCTGGGATTATCTTCTCGTGTATCTGGATTTTCCTAGCTTCATGCGCTTTATGCGCTTGACTCAATTAAATGAACGGCCACTCCTGTGGCAAAATGTATTCCAAATAGGGATTGTCATTATTTTGTATCCCAGCAAACAGAATTCACCGAAAGTGTGACTCGGCCAACGTTAATATCTGACTTAATAATAAATTATCGTGTAAAGACACATGAAGCATAGATCTCGATAAATACTCCGAGTGGGCGGAATAAACCTTTTTAGGTTGGACGTTTCTCAACCCACGTGACGGTACCCCAGAGAACACAGGCGTCCCAAACTGAATATGTGTGCGCATGCTAAAAATTTTGCGTGACGTAGCATTTCATAGGTTTATATGGGAAAAATAAATACATGCATCAGTTTTCGTACCTGGAAATGATAATACAGAGGGAAAGAGAAAGAAGAGAGAAGGCAGAAAGGGAGAAAAACCTTAGCTATAAGGATGTGGAGTGGGAGAAACTTCTCCATGAGGATCTGCTTAAAAAGCAAAGAGTCTGACATCTGAAAAGAAATTGTCCAAAAAAGGCAAGCTAAACTTAGTGTCAGCTCACATTCAGCTGTCAGCAGCCATACAAAGTGTCTACACTAGAAAAGATGCAAGTAGCTCTGGAGCAAACAGCAGCTCAGAAGCAAGAGAAGAGAGTAGCCGGCACTATGCTGTGCAGAAAGTTGGGAGTGATTCCTCCGAGAATGATGAATGAAAATGATGATGATGATGATGATGATGATGATGATGATGATGATGAAGACAATATACCTTTGCAAAACTGGCATCGAACAGTTGGAATGAAAGTGATAGCAATGTAGCATTAAGCGTACTCGCCAAACACAGCTGTTAATAAAGTTCTATTATTACATTCCTTATGAAGCAAGGCAAGAGGCTAGAGATTTATGATTTTATGATGCACAAAATAAGGTTTTATTGGATTATCAAGAGGAAACCAAAAATCCATGTTGTAATACCAGGGGGTGGGTCAAGTGATTTTCAACCTTGCTTTAGGGGTGGATCAGTCATTTTTGTGCCGAAGGGAGGGGGTGGGCCATAAATTTTTTTATCAACCACATTTCCAAATGCTCCGTCCCACCCCTTATACTTTTTTACCAGTCCCTAATAGTACTGTAACTTTTTTACATTAAACTCCACATTAAGACTCCAAAAATAATCTACTTTAAATATTTTTAAAGTGCTCCTATCAGCGTTGCACTATGTTGACGGGATCAAGAGTTGAGAGTGGGGCCTGTGATACTTATAACTTTACAAACGACACTTTTGGGGCGATTGACTCTCAGAGAGTCATTCAGTTAACAGCATGCAAGGCTCTGTTTCAGGATAATCTGGAAGAGACAAATTATACTTTTGAGCTAGAGACTCAGGCACAAATCTGCCGCCTAAGAAATGAAATGTGCCCCGAAAGTGTTTAGCACAAAGTTTTGGAGCTGTGAGAGATATCAAGAAGTCTGGTTGAATTCCATCAGGATTTCCATCTTCTACATGCCAACCTAAAAGTTAATTGAAGAACAGGAGACAAAAATCAGACTTTGACTCAAATAAGGGTTTGTAAGTCTAAGGCAAACTCCCTTGGATTGAACCCATTTAAGCCATCTTAAAATTGTACAAAAATATAGGGGTGGCGAATGGCACGTGGGTGTCGGAAAATTTTGGCAGGATCTCGAAATCTCGGAAGCGTTTTTGATAAGTCTCGAAGTCTCGTTTTTTCATTGTTTGTTTTTACTTTTTTTGAGTCTCGAAGCGTTTCACCAGAGAGTCTCGGGCTCGGATTCTAACTAGGATCTCGGCGTCTCGGCGAGTCTCGGATTTTACCATTCGCCACCCCTAAGTATGAAGGTGTCCAAATAGTTTACTTTAAGAGCCAACCATGCTGGCATCACCTAATAACATTGATTTGTGTATGTAATCAATGAAAACAAGCCACCTTATAGTTTACAGCTTGGTCATGTAGCCCTTATGATCTTTTTGAGTCTAGAGTAATAAATTCAATGGGCAGCTTTATAGTTAGAATTAACTAAGGGTGTGGTAGCATGGTTGCTGATTTGTTTTATTTTCTATGCATAACTACTTAGCATGTTATAACATTCAGTGCTGCTCTATACATTCTGGGCATGCAAGAATTAAGCCTTGAAATCGTTATAAAATTTTGGATTTTGAGTCTAAATTAATAGTAATATTGATTAAATTTGATGAAATACGAGTTAAGACTTTTTAATGAATGGTGAAACATTTCATTATTCTTCTTCTATGTTCATGTTAATTACCCACAATGGCCTCAATTTAATGCAATAATTCTTTTGAACTCCATCAACTGGAAGGAGTAAGTATGTGTTTTTTAATCAGGCTCAAAATGGCTGTACTATTGGCTAAGTTTCTTTGGGGGAGGGGGGGGGGGTTATGGGCTGAGACAAAGTTGGGGTCATCAGGGCCAATACCCAGCCATCTTGAAGATTAATCAGTAAAGAATTTATTATATGACCAAAAAGAGAACTTTTTTCTTGCAGACCAACTCAGAAAGTCCGGAGTGGGCAAGATGGGTCTAACTGGTCTACTTGTGTGGCCAATCAGAACACAGAATACACTTCACCTTGCGCCCTTGTTGATTCAGCCATATAATAAAGACTACCTGTAGTAATGATATTATTGACCTGCCATTGAAAAACATGGTCTTACAATGCTATTGTACATTTCTTCTCTATCTCGTCTAACCTAGGGAGCAAGGGATGGCGCAGTGGTGAGAGCACTCGCCTCAGGGATGGCAGAGTGGTGAGAGTGCTCGCCTCCCACCAATGTGGCCCACGTTCAAATCCCGGGGTCAGCGCCATACTAGTGTGGGTTGAATTTGTTGTTGGTTCTCTCCTTTGCTCCGAGAGGTTTTCCTTCGGGTACTCCGGTTTTCCCCTCACCTCAAAAACCAACATTTCCAAATTCCAATTCGATCAGGAATCAGGTAGACGAAGAACCACTTTGTGGATGTGCTACCTCCAATTCATTATAATATATATCATTATTATTATTATTATTATTTACCTGAAGGGATGTCCACTGAGCAAACAGGAATGTTAACATCCTTCAAGGTTGATAATGCATCTCCAAATGGTGGCCGTGCATTCCCTTTAAAACTGAATCCAAAAATAGCATCCACCACCAACCTGTATTGCTCATTAATCTGGCTTGACGATGGTAACTCAGGAATGAATGGTATGTCCATCTTTTCACACTGTGTCACAAGGTTTTTGAAAAGCTGTTTCTCTGACTTCTTGGGATAATAAATCTTTGGATTGTATCCCTAATATAACAGTGAACAAATCTCACTATTACTAAGGAAGAGTCTCTAATCAACAATAACACTGGCCAGTATCAAGTTTAAAGTGCAATAATATTATGAACGCATATGAAGTTCTTTGTTATTATGTTCAGTTTGTTTGTTTTTTTTTTACTGTATTATTTTGAGGTTTCCCGTTCCCTCTATGTTTGGTTATCGTCTGCTATGTATCTAGAGTAAATGTTGTCTTGTCTCTTGGGCTTATCATTTTTGGTGGGTGACGCACTGTGGGTAATATCATGTCTGAGTAAGATTGTGATTATCTCAGTTTAATGTCTCTATTAGGCCCAGTTCAAACATTGAACTTTTCATGTGTTGAGCTTAATACCTATTTCAGTCAACCCATCCATACAATATAACAAAAAAAATTGTTTTCATCTCAGATTTCAGCTGTAGACCGCACCCCACCCTCCTTCTGTAAACCCCATATCCTTAGTATACCCAAAAGTCCTGGTTAAACTTTCCCCTAGGTTGAGAAAACAGCAGACATTTCTCATAGTCACTACTGGTTTCCCTATCAAAGGAAAGTCTGAGGAACGAGTGCAGAAATTTCTTACAATAACATGCTACTTCCCAGATCTGGTTTATGCTTCAGGAGGCCCTGCCAGGGTAAATTCCGACAAACCACATGGCCCAAAAAGTATACATATTCTTGTCCCGTTACAGTAAGTTGAAGTTTGTTTTTAAGTTTTTCTTGGGGGAAAATAATGCTTGTTTTAGAAACTGCTTGTTTGAGAATCTCTTTGTTAAACTGCTCTCAAAGCCCTCCAGATCTATGTACACCCCTCCCAAACTGTAAATAAATAAGCTTAGGGCTTATAAGCCAGAATTTTGAGGCATAATTCTTATAAGTGATGTTTTTTTTTTCCATATTCGTTTTAATGAAGAAAACAGCATAATATAAGGATTTAAAGGTATACTGCACAGCTTATAGCATGTAGTTGACAACAATGTAATGCGTGATGCATAGTTTATATGCATGGAGCTCTACTCTCCCTTGTCAATATTTATCATAAACAGACATACAAACATCTTAAGGTGCCTAGCCGCAACTAGTCCATCGCCTCCATTGTTACCAGGGCCGCTACAGACCAGAACGTTTGGATGACTAGGTCCTCTGGGATACGCTTTGGTAAGAGCTACAGCCACGCTTAATCCAGCCAACTCCATCAGCTGGTCCACGCTGAACGAATACTCATTAAACAACTCTTGATCTATTTTTTGTGCTTCGTCTTGGGTTAAGTACTTCATGGTCACTCTGGTCGTGCAGAAGTGCTTAAAATACTGAGGAAAACGCCCACAAAGCGGCGCTATGCGGAAGATCATCAACCCAGCGAGGCCACTCAAAATGCCCACGAGAAGGAAAAACCTCCAGCCCATGCCTGCGATATTCATAAGTGACCAGCGGCATTTTAAAATCGCCAATTGTCACGCAACGCAAACCTTTTCCCTAACGCAACACATAAAAATGATTTCGTTTATCAATAATATTTTCTAGGGGGTTTGCGGACGAAAAGAAAGGGTAGCCTGCCCCACAGACGAAACAAAGCTCTACTAACCGAGGCTAAATTACGTCTGCAACGCAGGCTAAGAAAAGGGATACCTCTCACCAGGAGCCGATTACTTAATTAAGGAATCGGCTCCTGCTCTCACAAATTGGGGAGAGGAGGGGAGTCACGGGCACCACAGGACCCTGGCAGGGACTCTCTTGAGGAGAAGTTTATTTTTCACTCTCCATACTCTGCTTGACCCTTAACAATGAAGAAAAAAAAACACGCAAAGACTAAACGTTTGACTTTTATTAGGTCTTTCACTGTGGTAATCACTTGGAAAGATAACAAACGACGTCCTTGACCAGTCTTCCTTTTCACGAACCTGTTAATAAAGCAATGAACACTGTCTCAACAAGAACTTACGTTAGCGAGGTGATAAGCGTATGAATGGGTTTTATCGCAGCTCGCTTTAAACAGATAACTAGAAATACGTTTATCCCAGATTCAGATTCAGGGTCAATGGCAGTATAATCGGATGTTTTACGGTCATTTCGCCCCTGTTACTTAGCCATCTATTTTAGAACGCGGGATATTCATTGGGAGCTTGCTTGTTTTGGTTTATGGCTTATAGATCGACACATAGCCTGTTCCAGGCCGTTCCAGGTACATAAGTGGCGAGTAACGCGAAATGGCTCTCTAATCAGCCATACGGGAAAAGATGGCGGCTGTACATTTTACCACAATTCCTTTCCAACCTAACACGGCCAATTACACATAAGGTCGTATTTTTTTTGGGGGGGGGGGGGGGCGAAATTCGTCCCTGTAATAGCAACATTGCCTATCCTAGGTTTTAGGTTTATAAAACTTTTCTGTGCATTTTTATGAACAATTTTATGGTTTTCATGCGCTAAGAACTGTGGGTAAACGACGTCCTTGCTGCCTAAACGTCTGGGACAGCCTACTCAATTTTAACATAGGATAACACAAACAGACCCACGATAAATTCCCTCGGAAAGCAGACGTTTGAAGGCCGATTAGCGCTTATCCGGGGTTAAATTTGGACCGGGGTTTCTTTTTCTAGCGCTTATCCGGGGTTAAATATTGACCCGGGTTTCTTCTTCTTTCGTTCAAAAGCCTTTTATCAGTGCAGATGATTTTTTTCTGTTATACCATCCAATCATCAAATTGTTGGCAAAAAGAATTTAACTGAATTGGCGTTTTACGCTTTCATATCTAAATTCAAAATTTTGCACAAACCCTGGGTTGTCTTAACCCAGCTTCAAACAACCCGGCCCAACTGCCCCGAAAACTTACCGGGGCTTTCCAGAAATGAGTCCCAGGATGAAATAGGCCATGGTTGTATATAGGTAGGTCAGTACTATAGTTGATCGGAAGAAACTGTCATATATACGACCGAAGTTATATCCGTAAAAATGCAACCCTTTAACTCAGCCATAGACCCTGCTGATAGGTAATTTATTAATTTACTTAGTGAACTTGTTTTACCTTGAACTCGGTTCAAATTTATGGTCGATGCTCAGCAGAGATTGCATGTCTTTTTGCAGTTCTTCTTCATGAAGCTATGGGTCGTACAATACTTTGTGTATTTAGCACAAGAACCATATGTGTCAACGCACGGGACTGTTGGACGGAAGCATTTATTATGATATGAGTAAAACTAACAAGTTCCGTTGAACACTTTGTTCAACAGGTCGGTCCTCACTTAAATTAAAGACAAAGAAAAAAAATATCCACTCTTTCAAGTCGCCCCACGTAAGGGAATCCAAGACAGTTTTGGATTCTGGATTTCACACAGTGGATTCCGGATCGGCCTGGTACTGGATTCCAGTCTTTGTAAGAGGAACTTTGGATTTTGAATTCCAATCGTTAGTGGGATTTGCGATTCCTAAAGCTGTATTCCAGATTCCAAAGCCCAGGATTCCAGCTTTCCCAAGCATAAGTTTACCGGATTCCGGATTCAGTGACTAGCCAACATTTCCCGGATTCTGGAATTCGGTCCTTACATGGGAGGAATCAAGGACCCAGACTCGTTGGGATCATAACACTTTATGCTAGACATGGCTCAAAGCTAAGTTTTTGCTGAAAGTTCAACTAAAGATTTTTTTTCCTTGAATTCAATTCTCCGGGCAAATCTTTTTCGATACTCTCAATCCACTTTTTAGCTCTTTCATGGCCGTACCTCTTCGCTTTAAGAAGGTAACTTACTAAACTTTAGTTTTCATTCACAGTTATTTACATTTCTTTTATCTTGAAGTTTACCTGTTGTTGGAATGGGTGCTCCTAAAAGAATAATGATTCGTCATTGTGAGTATTGAAAATCAATAATACTTTTTAAATCAGTGACGGATCCAAAAATCTATGAAACTGTCAGTAAACGCCGGCGAATGAAAATATGGGATGAAAAAAAAAAAGTTTTGCAAAGAACCTATCACTCACTGATATGTCCTTTGGAGTTACTTTTATCCAGTCACTAGATGAGAACATAAGTTGCCAGGGTGTAGACGAAGGTAGACTACGAGCAATCTCTCTTTTTTCTTATTCTGTCGGGCGAAACCCAAGAGAAACAAAAATGACCAGGTGCGTGGCAGAAAGCGCCTCGTCTCTCGCGTTTTGCCACTCAACGCTCACGCGCGCGTGCACTCCCGTCATTAGTCTAAGGTGAGGGCAATTGCTCAAATTGCTTAATACAGATTGCTACTCAAACATAAAAAGAGAGTTCCACGCTATGTTTCTGCTCAAAGTTAAACTAAGGATCCTTTCCCTTGAATTCTCCAGGGAAATCTTTGTCGATACTCTCATTCACTTAAGCTCTTCCATGGCCTTAGCACTTCGCTTTAAGACGGTAACTTACTAAAATTTAGTTTTCATTCACAGTTATTTACATGTATTTTTTTTATTTTGAAGCTTACCTGTCGTTGGAATGGGTGTTCCTAAAAGAATAATGATTCGTCGTTGTGAGTATTTCGAACCAAGAATATTTTAATTTGAAATTTGACGATTCCAAAAATCTATGAAACTGTTATAAACGCGTACGAATGAAATTAAAATATGAGATGCAAACAATTTTTTCCAAAGAACATATCACTCACTGATATGTCCTTCGGAGTTAATTCTATTCTAACTAATTGAGAAGTCACAAAAGTTGTCAGGATGTAGACGAGAGCAGACTTCGAGCAGTCTCTCTTTTTTTCTATATTCTTTCGTGCGAAACGAGCAAGAAACGAAAATGACCACGCGCGTGGCAGAAAGAGCCTCGTCTGTCGGGTTGCCACTCAACGCTTGCTGCGCGTGTGCACTCCCCTCACTGAATCTAAAAAAGTGAGAGACGCTCATAGCCGGCTAAGGCGAGGGCAATTGGTCAAATTGCTTGATCCAAGTTGGTACCCATACGTAACCAGAGTATTTTTGTTTGTTTGTTTTTTTTTAGCGTATGGAAATTGATTGATGAGTAGATCACAATTATGTCTGTCAAAGTCACATCAGTATCAAGGAAAAACGTCAAATCAGACTTACCACCTCCACTCCCAGTGTTTTTACATTTGTACAGCAGATTCATCTGCTTGACATCAATAGCACTGGGACCTCTCCTCTGGCCGATTTGAGCCTGGGGGTTTAAAGCCGCACGAGAACTGACCGTTAACATGTGATCAGGACCAGGCCAATACTTTGGCGGGACAAAAAATATACGCCGAAGGAGGAAAACTTCCTTTTGCTCTCTAAAAGAGGCTAGACCTTCGCTGTAATGGCTCAGATCATCACGTAAACATAGAAGCCGTCTGAGTAGGGACTTAATACAAAAGTAACTAAAAGTGTCTTGAAAACAAAGGTCAGTAAGTGCCAAATCGAAGTCTTTTATTCCCATTTCAAACCTATACGACATTATATGGTCTTACCCCAGGTTTCTTTACTACAATTGTTGGCTGTCCGTTTTTGCTGAAGTAACTTGTACCGTAATGCATTATACTACCATAATCATATGGAGTGCCGAGGGAATCGACCGAGTAAGAACTCTGCTTCTTAAAGTTGACCTCAAAGCCTATATATTTTGAAAGAAGAAAGGAACAAAATATCTATTTATTAATTGCTTTGCTTAAAGGAATATGAACATGACATATTGAGCATAAGTTAAATTCTCCCCGTGGAAAAGTTCACTGAATGAAAACAGTTACTAATCATGATGTAAAATAGGGCTGAAAATGATTGTATGTTTCACGGCCAAAAGTTGCCTATGTGAGAGAAACCGATATAACGGATCGAAGCGCCAAGAAGAAATGACGGAAATTCGTTCTTATACTCTTGTTTAATAATTTCTTATGCAATATTTTTCCTTGGAGAATTTTTTTACCCCTGAGTAATGTTATAACTTTTAACCTGTTTTTACACGACCCCAGATTGTCTTTGAACTGTTATCGTATTAAAATAAAGGATTTGATGATAATGATGTGCATGATGATGATGATGATGATGATGATGATGATGATGATGGTGATGGTGGTGGTGGTGATGATGATGGTGATGATGATGATGATGATGATGATGATGATGATGATGATGGTGATAATTATGATGATGGTGGTGGTGATGATATGATGATGATGATGATGATGATGGTGGTGGTGGTGGTGGTGGTGGTGATGATGATGATGATGATGATGGTGACGGTGACGATGACGATGACGATGACGATGACGATGACGATGACGATGATAATGATGATGATGATGGTGATGATGATGATGACGATGACGTTGTTGATTTGCTTCCTGCTTGTGTAAAATGGCCGGAGGCTTGCCAAGTTTTAATTTGAAAAGGTAGAAAAACAGTTGTGAAGAAGGAAAACTAGCTTGTCAAGGAAATTCCTATTTGTGTAGCTGGCCCCTTGTTCAGAGTACCATTCAAACCTGAATATCTATTCTCCGCGAAGAGAGTCACAGAAAAAAAGATTGACAACCGGCATTCCGGCGGGGCGATGAACGAGGGATAATAACAACTCAAAGCTATAAGTAATAGCGATGCTCTTTATTTGATCAAATTTGTAAAAACTTAACGGAAGGTAAGGTAAACCAATTAATTATTTCATCGTTCTTACTAGTCTGCTACACAGCCGTTTTTAGAGTCGCGTTGCGTGATGACACTGAAAACGGCCGTGTAACAGACTACGTTCTTACCTGCTTTAATGTTTTCAGTTCGGATGGTGACGTAATCATCTCTGTCTGGACGGGACTGTTCGTGGTAAAAGCCAAGAGCGTGAGCTGGAAATTGATAATTGAATACAACGATTGAGCACACGTAATTAAGCAAGCTGAATATTGGTGGTGAGCCGAATTACAATCGATAAATAAAAAACGTCAGTCATTCTTCCCTTTCAGTTAGATGAGATGCAAAGATTAAATGCAAAATGTCAGGATTATGTAGTGGAGTTTGGCGGAATTCTTTTAAGTGACGACTGGATCGAAATTTTGTGGAACAGTATTCCCATTTCATTTACTTAATGCATGGCCGGGCGGAAGGGAGGACATGATCAACTGAAGCTAAATTTGCTTTAACGGTTCCCTTAACGTGTTAGATCCCACGTTAATTAAAAAACTAAACTAATTCTTTTATTAAAATAGGTCTAAAGTCGCATACCCATCTCATGAGCGACAGTACCCATTTGCCAACACCCTCTTGCCAAATTGATTATCTGCTTTCCGCTAATTCTGCCAACGTAGGATGAACATCTAAAAAACGGGGGGGAAAGCACAAAAAGCTAATTCCAGAATCCCTGTCCAAGGCTCTCAAAAGCTACTGAGCTATTTGAAAAATGACTCAACTGATATAGCAAGTAGATCAAGGTTGTGTCGAAGGCCTAGCCACAGTTGTTATCAAAGAAGGAGAGTGCAGTTTTGTTGAGTAATTCTATATTTCATTCAGACACTTACCCTTTCCCCTTGAAGAACTCTACATAATCTTTCTCTGTTGTCCTCTTCTTAAACGTGATGCATGTCTTGCTACTCCATTCATTCATGGCCGCAGTGATAGCACTTACTGCTATGGTCTCCGACGCTGCATACGTACGATAAGCGCTTTTAAGACTGATATCACATGCACGTTATGTTGTAATTTTTTCTTTTCAGTGAATGCAATCCGACCTATAAATCTATGATTTCACATACGTTATATATTGGTCTTACCGGGGGTATATTCTCACGCACCAAAGAAAAAGGCTCAAGCAAAATGCTGAAGCTACTCTAGGTAGTGTTGTACACGTATATACTGGCATTATTGTGCTGTGTTTAACATTGTATTGTTTGTATTGTGTGAAAGAGTAGTAACAGTGACGCGTTTTTAACAGGAGAATACCAGTGCTCAGTAATCAAATATATTAGGCCATTTCCGAGTTCCAAAATATCTCACTTTCAAAACGAGGCTAAGTGCGAAACCTCTGTTGTGAAAATGAGTTTTATTTGCATCACAATTAAAAATCATTTTCATATCAATAAATGGCTTCGCACTTAGCCTCGCTTTGAAAGTGAGATTTTTTGGAACTCGGAAATGGCCTATTTGTAATACTTAGATAATAAGTCCCCGAGGGGGGGGGGGGGGTTTAGTCTTTTATTCCCATTTCAAACCTATACGACATTATATGGTCTTACCCCAGGTTTCTTTACTACAATTGTTGGCTGTCCGTTTTTGCTGAAGTAACTTGTACCGTAATGCATTATACTACCATAATCATATGGAGTGCCGAGGGAATCGACCGAGTAAGAACTCTGCTTCTTAAAGTTGACCTCAAAGCCTATATATTTTGAAAGAAGAAAGGAACAAAATATCTATTTATTAATTGCTTTGCTTAAAGGAATATGAACATGACATATTGAGCATAAGTTAAATTCTCCCCGTGGAAAAGTTCACTGAATGAAAACAGTTACTAATCATGATGTAAAATAGGGCTGAAAATGATTGTATGTTTCACGGCCAAAAGTTGCCTATGTGAGAGAAACCGATATAACGGATCGAAGCGCCAAGAAGAAATGACGGAAATTCGTTCTTATACTCTTGTTTAATAATTTCTTATGCAATATTTTTCCTTGGAGAATTTTTTTACCCCTGAGTAATGTTATAACTTTTAACCTGTTTTTACACGACCCCAGATTGTCTTTGAACTGTTATCGTATTAAAATAAAGGATTTGATGATAATGATGTGCATGATGATGATGATGATGATGATGATGATGATGATGATGGTGATGGTGGTGGTGGTGATGATGATGGTGATGATGATGATGATGATGATGATGATGATGATGATGATGGTGATAATTATGATGATGGTGGTGGTGATGATATGATGATGATGATGATGATGATGGTGGTGGTGGTGGTGGTGGTGGTGATGATGATGATGATGATGATGGTGACGGTGACGATGACGATGACGATGACGATGACGATGACGATGACGATGATAATGATGATGATGATGGTGATGATGATGATGACGATGACGTTGTTGATTTGCTTCCTGCTTGTGTAAAATGGCCGGAGGCTTGCCAAGTTTTAATTTGAAAAGGTAGAAAAACAGTTGTGAAGAAGGAAAACTAGCTTGTCAAGGAAATTCCTATTTGTGTAGCTGGCCCCTTGTTCAGAGTACCATTCAAACCTGAATATCTATTCTCCGCGAAGAGAGTCACAGAAAAAAAGATTGACAACCGGCATTCCGGCGGGGCGATGAACGAGGGATAATAACAACTCAAAGCTATAAGTAATAGCGATGCTCTTTATTTGATCAAATTTGTAAAAACTTAACGGAAGGTAAGGTAAACCAATTAATTATTTCATCGTTCTTACTAGTCTGCTACACAGCCGTTTTTAGAGTCGCGTTGCGTGATGACACTGAAAACGGCCGTGTAACAGACTACGTTCTTACCTGCTTTAATGTTTTCAGTTCGGATGGTGACGTAATCATCTCTGTCTGGACGGGACTGTTCGTGGTAAAAGCCAAGAGCGTGAGCTGGAAATTGATAATTGAATACAACGATTGAGCACACGTAATTAAGCAAGCTGAATATTGGTGGTGAGCCGAATTACAATCGATAAATAAAAAACGTCAGTCATTCTTCCCTTTCAGTTAGATGAGATGCAAAGATTAAATGCAAAATGTCAGGATTATGTAGTGGAGTTTGGCGGAATTCTTTTAAGTGACGACTGGATCGAAATTTTGTGGAACAGTATTCCCATTTCATTTACTTAATGCATGGCCGGGCGGAAGGGAGGACATGATCAACTGAAGCTAAATTTGCTTTAACGGTTCCCTTAACGTGTTAGATCCCACGTTAATTAAAAAACTAAACTAATTCTTTTATTAAAATAGGTCTAAAGTCGCATACCCATCTCATGAGCGACAGTACCCATTTGCCAACACCCTCTTGCCAAATTGATTATCTGCTTTCCGCTAATTCTGCCAACGTAGGATGAACATCTAAAAAACGGGGGGGAAAGCACAAAAAGCTAATTCCAGAATCCCTGTCCAAGGCTCTCAAAAGCTACTGAGCTATTTGAAAAATGACTCAACTGATATAGCAAGTAGATCAAGGTTGTGTCGAAGGCCTAGCCACAGTTGTTATCAAAGAAGGAGAGTGCAGTTTTGTTGAGTAATTCTATATTTCATTCAGACACTTACCCTTTCCCCTTGAAGAACTCTACATAATCTTTCTCTGTTGTCCTCTTCTTAAACGTGATGCATGTCTTGCTACTCCATTCATTCATGGCCGCAGTGATAGCACTTACTGCTATGGTCTCCGACGCTGCATACGTACGATAAGCGCTTTTAAGACTGATATCACATGCACGTTATGTTGTAATTTTTTCTTTTCAGTGAATGCAATCCGACCTATAAATCTATGATTTCACATACGTTATATATTGGTCTTACCGGGGGTATATTCTCACGCACCAAAGAAAAAGGCTCAAGCAAAATGCTGAAGCTACTCTAGGTAGTGTTGTACACGTATATACTGGCATTATTGTGCTGTGTTTAACATTGTATTGTTTGTATTGTGTGAAAGAGTAGTAACAGTGACGCGTTTTTAACAGGAGAATACCAGTGCTCAGTAATCAAATATATTAGGCCATTTCCGAGTTCCAAAATATCTCACTTTCAAAACGAGGCTAAGTGCGAAACCTCTGTTGTGAAAATGAGTTTTATTTGCATCACAATTAAAAATCATTTTCATATCAATAAATGGCTTCGCACTTAGCCTCGCTTTGAAAGTGAGATTTTTTGGAACTCGGAAATGGCCTATTTGTAATACTTAGATAATAAGTCCCCGAGGGGGGGG